GCAACTTGTCCATGAAGAGATAAGAACGAGAAGAAGCAGAAGGCATTTGCGTGGTTACTTTGTTGCCTCCAAATAATAAGAATGGCAAATAACATTGTCATTTTTTTTTTCACTCGAAGCATCCTGGTAAGATTCCTTGAACAAGAATTATATCACATATGTGGAGACCAAGACTTGTCCGGATTTGTAGTCCGATTTTGTAGTCGAAATAAAGCTGATCTATGCCTTTTTAATTACAGAAGTGGTGGTGCCTTTTCAGGTTTCAAGTGAAACTTCTCCACATGCATAACGGGGCCTGAATGGCCGAGTGGCTAGCACTCTGGCGTTCGGTACCACATGTTTCTGGTTCGAGTCCCGACAATGCCATGAATATTTGTAGTGGCTAGAAATCCACTTTAAACGGTAGTTCCCGGTCTGTTTAGTCTAAAGTGAGCACAAGATGACCGTAGAGAGACAAACCAAACCACATACATAACAGAAGTTATTAGCCGAATGAATGCACCTATGCGGTTAAAAAATAATCATACCTAATTCTAAAAAATATCATGTGTTTAACTTAAATTACAAATTTATTGAAATCATTTATTTCTAACAGAAACACGCCCCATAAATCTAATACTATGGCCTTTTTATATTTAGAACCAAAGCAGGAAACAGTGCCGATAACCAGATTGGCGTCGTCTCCTGTTTTGTTGTTGTTGTTTCTTATCCCACTTGGCTGGCCAAGCCCACGAGCCCATATGTACTCATGATTGAAGGGGAAGGAAGCAGCTTCTGTTATAATGGAGCACCCGTAGGTAGAAGCCTGACTTTTGCTCCGTGACGCTCTTACAGTCATAGGAGACCGGGACCTACGGCTTAAAGTGGATTCCGAACCACTACAAACGTCCATGGCACTGCCGGGATTCGAACCGGAAACCTGTGGCACCGAGCGCTAGACACTCGGCCATTCAGGTCCCAAGTTTGCCAACGGCACGCAGTGTTCCCAGGTGGTCACCCACCCAAGTACTGACCGCGCCCGATGATACTTGACTTCGGTGATCTAACGAGAACATGGTATGGCCGTTCAGCATGGTACGGCCGTCGTCTCCTGCAGACTAATAAGACCTCGATTATACACGATAGCTCGACAGTAGCCATTAATATCTTTAATAAGACATCAATATCATTAACGAGCCATCAATATCTTAAATGAGCCATCAATATCTTTAATAGCCATCAATATCTTTAATAGGCCATCAATATCTTTAATAATTTTGACAACATTTTTAACTTCGAAATTCCAAAATTTCCCATTTATGATCACATCGACCCTCTAACTCGAAAACGAATAGGGACGCTTTAAAATTTTTTTTTTTTTTTAATTTTCTGATTACACCTGATGTCACCTTCTCTGATTTGTCATTACTGTTCTGCAGCTGCTACTCCTTTTTGGCATCTTTTTATTTTTGTTCAATTTTTACCATACCTTATTTTTTTTTTCTTTTGGCCATTCACCATCTGATTTAAAGTAACATTTTCCTGAAAATGTTGACAAAATTAATATGGCTGTTCTGTACTGATCCTCGTTTCATCGATTCTACGCCATGTTTTCAAATGTTTCAAATTATGAATTTAGGTCCGAAGGGGCCAAGATTGATGAATTCCAGGATCAGTAAAGCTTCTTAAGAAATTAATGTCTTCGGAGTCACGTTTCTAAAGTATATATATTAATATTTACATACTTAAAATATATTGCATACATATAGAGCTGGTTGTTTGGAGTTTTATGGTACAAGGGCCAGATTTGGCCATACTGCACCAAACAAAGGTGCTTTCAATATATGGAGCATATATTTTAATGCATTTCTTTTTATAAATGTTGCTAAATAATTTATAAACTGTAATTTGAAAGTTACATACTATAAATTTGCGTATTCTCGTTTTTAATTTTTCACATGTATTTCAAGAAAACTGAGAAATAAATGAGCTGAAATTTTTTTACTGTTTTAATGTTTGTAATTTTTTGCAAATTTCAGTTTTTGCAATATTTTTAATGCTGTTCAGCATGCTATTTCCAGTTCCTGATATTATTAACATACGCTTCTATTTTGTTATTAGGATGCTTTCAAAAATTCACATCCTTACTTAAAATTTTTTTTGTGTGAAAATTCACTATCTTGTTCCACGATCGTATTTTTAAGAAGAAAAAAAATTTGGGGAATCAAATTATATTAAGTATTAAGATTTATTCCCTCTATTTATTTCTATTAACACTATTTATATAAATATTCTGTATATATGTAAATAAAATTTAAAGTTTTCCCCTGAACCTGAAAGTGGCCCTCATCTTGAAGCCGTTATAGGTCTAGTATAGGGCACGTTACATAATAAATGGCTGTTTGAAAAGAGTTTCAAAAGTCAAGAGCTAAGGTCACTATAAAATTTGGCAACTTTTAGATCCAGTAATGCTATTACATTATATTCTTTAAAACATATAAAAATATTTATTGAATTTAAACCCGAAGGATCATCTTGTGTTTCGTTTAATGTTGTTTACCATTTTATTCCCAGTTCCCGAAATTATTCCGTATTATTAGTATACGATCCTATTTTGTTATTAGGATGCTTTCAAAATTTCACAACATACAATCCTAATAAGATAATTTTATTTCTTTAAAATATTTACTATCATGTTCGACGATCATTATAATTAATTTTAGTAACTAAACCGTCAAATAAACTGCCGAACAGAAGATTGTATTTTTCCAAGATCGGTAACAAACCTCTCAGTCTTGCTCAAAATCATTTTGAAATAAATATATTCACATTCTATTCAATTCCTTTTCATCAAATTCAAAAAGACATACCTCATGTCAATGGGTACGAGTCTCAATTTTTCATATTCTTCGATTAGTTGAAGGCGTCGCCTCTGGGTCCCATGCTGATATTACCGAAAACTTGTTAATCGGATGAGTGTTGCATTCTTACTTGATTGATATGGATGATTTATTGACATGGTTTTGAAACGCAAAAGACGTTATATACAAATGATTAAAGATGGATTTGGTTTGTCGCTCTACGGTCATTTCATGCACACTTTAGGCTAATTAAACCAGCACCTACTGTTTAATGAGGTTTCCGAACCACTCACAAACATCCATGCCACCGCCAGGATTCGAAACAGAAGCCTAAGGCCGGTGCCCTAGCCAATTGGCCATCAGGCAGCTACGCATTATGGAAGAATAACAATTCACACCAGTTCAAGAACTTATAAGCATATAATTTAAGCAATATGCAATCTCCGCCGCCTATATGCAACTTCCCTAAAAGTCCCTAGAGGATGTTCTGAAAATTTATTCTTCTGGAAACTTACAAAAATTATTTTTATGTTAAAAGTTTACCTTTTTTATGCTCTTAACAAGGGGACCACATCATTAGCATGAAAAGCCATAAATACCAATTGTGTCTTAAAAAACTATTTTCTAACCAATAGATTATATGCTTGAAAAAGTTTTTAAATATAAACACAACGATTTGTTTTAATTTATTTCATTTTATTTTATGAATTGAAAATATTTAGATACACAATCCGGCTTAAAAAAATAACAGAAATATAATTTCAAATACAAAACTAGTCTAAAATTTATATTTTAGTATACAAATATTTACCAAGTCAAGTTATTTTTAAAACATATTTCCCATCAAAGGATATTTAAAACTGGCAAGACAATTTTGTTTGAAAATAAGTGTTATAATTCATAAAATATGCAAAAACATTGCATATATATGCAGTAATTAAAAACGTAAATATACAAGTAAAATATCTGCATAACAAAAGGACGCGTTACTTTTATTCAGACAATTTAGAATAATAGCCATTTAAAATTATCAGATTAAATTTATTAATTATTTATTAAATTTATAAGAGTAACTTAGATTAATTAATTATTAAAATTATCAGATTGAATTAATACATTATCAGAATATTCAGTAGTATACAAGAGTACTTCGTTTTTCAGATGATCAAAATTAAACAAATTTCAGTTTTAAACATAAGCAGGAGCAGAAATACTCATGGAAAAAGAGTCATTTACATAACATTGCAAGAATCTACCACAGATTTCTTCTTGAGTTTGCCTCTGAAAGTTGTAAGAAAATTCAGGAAAATTATCATTTTTAATCAATTTTTGAATTTGCTTAGTTAGAAAATATTTTATGGCAATTAAACACGTCTCATTTAACTACTTGTTTCGTTCAAAATATTTTTCTTTAATAACTCCTTGAGTTATATGCATTTTGTAATAAATTTGAAACATCAGATATTTAAAACATTTTTCTCCACAATAAGAACACCTCTTACGAGCTCTATTTGCTATTTCGTTTGAATTAATACCAAGTTTATAAATTAGGTCTTCTATTTTTCTATTTTCATCTTCGACATCTGTTTCCGGAGGTAAAGACGATAACTTGAGTTCGTCTGTAGAAATATAATTTCCTCCCTCAGGGTAATAATATACATACAAAAATTTCAGATCAATGTCAAAATCCCTGAAATCATCTTTATGAAACTGTTTTACGATGTTGAGTACATCATTAAAGGTGGGAATTAAAATACCTCCCTTCTCTGAATTAACATGACGGCCGATAAAACTTCTGAAATCTTCTTCCGCAATTTCATCAAAATACTTCCGCATTCCGATAAGACCGCCATTCGCCATAAAAAAGTCATCATAACTTTCCTTAAAAACCACTATGAAACATTTGGTCACTACCCGAAGAAGTGAAAGGCATTGAGGTTGACTTTGAAGAAGGCGGCACATAAAAAGACACACCAGTAAGAAATTAAAAAAAGACGGGGATCGACAGAAATGGTAGCTTTTTACTAACAGGAATTTCGCGAAATCTTTTTTAGAATGCAGAATTTTGTCTTCTTTCAATCTTTCAAAATAGCAATGAAATATTTTCCCGTAAATGTCATTCATTTTCGGTAGCGTCGTTATTACTCGTGTTAAGGTCTGTAATTCATCGGGTTTCACCCAAAGTAAGATAAATTTATAAGCTTCATCTTCACCACGATAAGTAACAAATAAAGCATATGCAAAGTGCTTCACAGATGAATAGAGTTCTAGTCTAGCCTCCATTTTTAAGATTTATATGCTAAATATTTAATTTTATTAATGTTCACAGTTAAATGAAGCTGGTTCCTACGCTTAACAATTTAGAAAACGAAAAAAGCGATCTACAGCATCACAATTGCGATTCACATTTCGAATTTGATACGCCAACAATATTATTTAACTGAGAAATACCTTTTTTTCTTCAGTTCCAATCCGAGAAATATCCGAATTGAGTTGTTTGTCTACTGAACTGATACAGACGATTTTCATTAGTACTCAACTAACTATATATTTGTGCGAAAATGACATTTATCATACCCATATCTTTTGAAAAATAAATTCTATTATATACTTTGAAAACAATTTTAAATTTTATTAAATAGATCATGACCTACCAGCTTCCCCTCCCCACAAGCACATTATAATGTACTTTCATGTAAAACTATTAACTAAAATTTTAGTTTCATTAATTAATATAAACTGGAGTAGAATATTTAGTTTTAGGTTCCCTGCGAGAATTCGGTTTCAGCATTAACGAGAATAAATCTCAAAATTAGATGGCAAGTCAAGTTAAGTTATGTTCCCTATATTTCAATCTTACAATTGTTTTTTTTTTCTTTCTAATGCAGCTGGCAATCACAGACAGCTTGGTCTTGGATGCCTTAAGGCAAGTGCTGCACAGACGTACTCACTTTGCATTACCCAGGGGGCGCGTGTAACTTGAAGATAAGCCACGGACGCGGAGTCACAATGCCCCCGCAACTCTCTACGATCCTATTAGACCGGGACTTACTTTTTAAAGTGGATTCCGAACCACTACAAACAACCATGGCACCGCCGGGACTCGAACCCGAAACCTGTGGTACCGAGTGCCAGAGCGCTAGCCACTCGGCCATTCAGGCCCCATCTCACAATTGTAATTTTGATAATTAATTTGTAACGGTATTTTACACATAAAAAGAGATATATATATTAATGAAAAGCA